GGTGGTGGCGGCGGCGGCGGCGGTTTTGGCTGTGTTTTTCATGTTTGTGTTGCCATTAGAAGCTATTGCTGAAGAAGCTGCTGCTCTGACCAGCTCTGGCCGCACTACAACTGCTGCTGTTGCTGCTGCCGAGTGCTGCTGGTCTGCGTGGTCAACTTGCTTGTCTGCATTGTTCTTGTTGTCACTGTCCCGCACTGGAGTCCCGTGGCCTTCATCATCCTCTCCACCACCCGCAGCTGGCTCAGGTGCAGCAGGCTCAGGCGCAGGTGCTGGACGTTCCTGGCAAACTCCGGTCTGAGGTTACTACTAATACAATTTCGTAAAATTGCGGAATGCATGCGCCAAAACTAGTGCTCTGGAGCTGATAAGTAACCAAGCAAAGCTGTGTAATTCAACTGCAGGCTTCACCAAAAACTTGTTCAGGGTCACTACTCAGTCGTTATCCCGCCAAGCTGCCATGGCTAGGCCTTTATCCGGTAACAATTCTTAACGATGATCTGCTTGGCAACACTTCTGATTTATTGGCCTGGTGAGCCAAGTGATGAACCACAAGCCCTGAAACGATGGTTTTGGTCTCCGCTGCTGTCAAGTCAGTGTGAGCCAGACAGTCGGTGTCATGCAAGTGTAAAGTTAGAATTTGTAAATGGATGAAATAATCTGAAAGCCCTCTCGGTGCTGTAATGCTTGCTATCCGGGTCCCAGAACAGCTTCGGCCCTTTAACGCTTGTGTGAAGCGCAGAGCACTGGATTGCAATCTGTAGCACCATCACTCACTCGTTGGAGCCCTTTGCGGCAGAGGAAGCCGCTTCTTCCTGCGGGAAAAGTTCACTGCTACCAATTTACAACATAACGTCACCAAGTCTTGCGACCACATACCAATTATGCCTTTGCTTGTAAACGTGGCACTTCTCAATCCTTCATTTCGGCGGCGCATCACAGTGCCTGAGGCTCATCTTGTGCCAACATTTTCGAGTTGCAGTCAGAACTGCCACATGGCTAGTCGAGTTGGTCCTCATCAGGTTCTGGGCTGCTGAGCCCTTTCAGCCTCAGCTTGGCGAACTTGAAACCGGGCACGCCATGCGCGGCCATGCACACGTTATGCTTGCTGGATTCTACCGCACTGCTCAGCGTTTCTAAGGTAAGCACGCATCCATGGCACCCATCCAGTCCACAGCGTCATCGTCATCGTCATCCCCGTCATCTTCTGCAGCCGCTGCTGCGCTGGAAGCGCTCGGCTCCTGCCCAAACCGGATTTGGTTCACAAAATCACTTCTTACAGCGGGATCCTGAAAGCTACATTCCACAAGATTACAGCAAGCCAAGTCATGGACATTAGCCTACCCTGAGACTATTTTCTCATCTTCGCCTCAGTGCGGGGTCGCTTTGCCTCTTCGGATTGCTCCGCATCCTTCTCCTCAGCCCAAGAGGCTTGTGAGAACATCGCCACCGAATGTCAACAAACTGGTTGTAGAAATCCGTCTCTGACACAAACACACACACACACACCACTTGAGAAACCAGAGCTTTGTTGAAAATGCACCATCAAGCTCCCGGATTGATGTACATGGAAGTTTGCACTTGACTTGGGCCGAGTTAACAGGCTTCAGGGCTTTGGCACATGCTCTGACGCGAAGATAAGTTTTGCCAGCGGCTAGAGCCCTCAGACTACTTCCCTCGTGACCTCGTGAACTGTGTCAGGCATTCCACTGGCAGCCAGGGTTCACTCACCCAGCGCTGGATTCCTGGTAAGTCATGCTTATACTCAGATAAGCAGAGGCGAGGTCAGCTTGGCAGTGACCGCGCATCTGTGTCCCTAAAGCTCCCGGCTTTGATATCTTTGACAAACCAATGTCCTTCGCTGACCAAGGAAGACTTCTGCGCCGAACGCTTGAGTTTCCGCACGAACTCTGGATCCAAGCTCTCCTCAGTTCTGAAAAGGCATTCAGCAGAGAAGACTGTTCTTGTAAAGGTTTGCCCACGCCTGCAGCAACTGCTAAATTACCGCCAAACGCGCTGTGCATGCTGTCATGACGGTGACTCGTATTGGGTAGTTGAGGCGTGAGTCAGGAATCAGGAAGAATGAATCCGGGACCCTAAACCCTAAACCCCTAAACCCCAAACCCCTTTTTTCAACCCAGACTCTGG